TGGGAAGTTTACCTATATGGCCAACACATGTTAAAGATTCAGATGGAAATACGATATGTAAAGCTATTCTTGACCCTAATGCATATCTGATACCAAAACCCACAAATTCATTAAAATCGTTTACATTTTATCCACCTAAAAACAAAAATACCTATTACTTTGATGCAACATTCGAACCAGATATGAGAGACTTATTGGAATATGCAGCAGCTAAAGTACAAGATAAATTAAGATATATTAAAGATGTTATTGTTCCTAATATGGGGGATTCAATTCCTCAAAATTTGCAAGAATCTTATATAAAATTTTTAATTGAAATATTCACCGATGCTACTAGTATTGATGCATTAAAAGATTATTTAAAAGATTTAAAAGTCATTCCAAACCAAACATTTACACTTTTCTGCGCAAGAGATTTATTTGATCAAAAGCATCAATTATTTAAATTTGTTTATAAAGATTCTAATAGATTTCTTCATAATAGTCTTCAAGATAATTCATATTCTTTAAAGGTACTTGAAGAAATTGGATTTAGAAGAAATGTTACACCGGAGATTTACATTAGATGTGCAGAAGAAATTCAAAGTAAATTTCAAAATAATGAGAATGATTTATTTAATAAAAGGGAAATTATAAGTTCAGCAAAAAGAACAATTTTTTATTTTTATGATCACCAATCCGAACTAACATTTTCAGAAGAAGAATGGAAAGAATTATCAAAAATTAAATTTGTTCCAACATCAAAAATCAAATGTGGACCAAATAGAGTGCTAAATGAATTATATTCTCGTTATGGTAAAAGTGATTCAGATGAATTAGAATGCTTTGAAAATTTATGTCATCCAAAATATATGAATCTTGCATGGACTCAATTAGCATTCTTTGAAGATGAACCACCCGAAAATGTTTTAAGAAATTATGAAAATCTTGGTTTACCGACTATTCCAACAATCATTAATCATTTAAAAGCCATTCAATCAACAATAACAAAATCGGATGAATGGAAAGAATTGGGAGATGTTGGTAGTCGATTAATATTTGAAGAATTAGAGCATATTTATAAAAAATTGGAAAATGACTGTGAAGAATTAAGATCATACTTTCCTAAAGGGCTTAAAAGACTTCAAATATTTTTGAATGGTAAAGATCCATTTAATTCGTATGATTGGGTTGCAGCACCACAACTTGATTTAAAGATTGAAAAAGATTTCAGTCCAAGAAGAAGAGTTGTTGCCAGTCATCTTTTAAAATATCCGAAACTTTTAGAATTAGCTGGTGTAAATTCACCTGATATTCCTATTTGGTCAAAAACAGAACCAAAAGAAGAAAATACCAATCGACTATCTAAATCTATGATAAAATTTTTAGATGCTGGAAACAACACGCCTTTTAATAATGTCTTGTTTAATGTTAAAGGAGAAGAAATTTATGCAAACTCTTCAATATTAATTTGTGCAGCACCATATTTTGAAGACTTATTCTCTGAACCTTCAACAAATTTTAATGAAACATATGAAGACATTGAACCTGATTCATTTCGCATATTATTAAGGTGGTTATATGGAGAATCGTTATCTGAAGCTATACAAAATTCTGAAAAAAAGGAAAATGAAAATACATTCTTTCAAGCTTGCAAAGGTTTATTATTGGCATCTGAAAAATTTGACATTGATACCATTAAAGAATTGATTGAATATAAATTAGTGATGTATATAAATGACGATTTCGTTGATGATAATTTAGGAAAAATTAAAGAATTGGCTGATGAATTTGAATTAGATGATCTTGTTAAATATTGTGAAAGCGTAGAAGAAGTGATGAAAGATGAAGATGAAGAGTCAGATAGTCATACAGATGTAGGAGAAAGTAGTAATGTTGGGATTACTAAAAAATCTACTAACAACAACAATTCAAAGACAATTGCGCCATCGAAACCTAATTTCATGGATAGTCTTAAATTTAGGTTTATCAAAAGCCGTTTTTCGAAACCAAATACGAAACGTGGATCTGAGTCGTAATTTACATAAACGGTGTATTATTATTATTAATGTTTGTAATATTTATATGTTTAAAAGGATTTTAGTCTATGCAACTCACAAAGAATCATATATCCCATACCAATCAAATTATGGGCAATATTTTGAAATATGCGACGAAAAAATATGTCGGTTTATTTTGAATGTCGCTCAGTAACTGAATGAGGATTTTAATTCCAGTTTTAATTTGGCTATACTCATTAATGAAACTGTTTTTTTTTTTTATAAAGAGCTGGCAAAAATCTGTCGTTAAGTATGATTTTAAAAGCATTTGCTTTTTTACAATGGTAACAGAATAAATATTCATATGCCAAAATTAATGATAAATAAATATTCAATAACATTGATTGCAAATATAAATAAGATATTTTGGTATGATAAACTTGAAATGCATAAGGGTCAAGAATAGCTTTACATATCGTATTTCCATCTGAATCTTTAACATGTGTTGGCCATATAGGTAAACTTCCCA